TCAACATAGAATCCCTACAGTGTGGAAGCAGGTCATTTGGCCCATCATGTCCACACCCAGACCCATCTCGTCCCAATCCTATCCCTGTAACGCTGCATTTCCCACGGCTAACCTACCTAGCCTGCACATCTCTGGACACTATGGGCAATTTAGCATGGTCAATCCACATAACCTGCACATCTGTGAACTGTGGGAGGAAACCAGAGATCCTCGAGGAAATCTACACAGACAACAGGGACAATGGACAAACTCCACACAGACAGTCGCTCGAGGGTAGAATCGAACCCAGGTCCCTGGCACCATGAGGCAGCAGTGCTAAGCTAACATGCCACTGAGCCATCGTGCTGCCCCCAGTTGACACTTAACTGCCCTCTGGGCAATTGGGGATGGGTAATAAATGCTGGCCTGGCCAGTGACACACACATCCTGTGAATGAATTTAAAAGATCTGTGAAAGGCAGCACCACTCGACCATGTCTTGTTCTTGCCCCACTGCCAAATCCTCGTGATTCCCAGCAGAGGTCGGGCATGGGAAATCTGACTGACTTTAACCTCATTCCACCCTCAGGGGCACCGACACCACAAATGGTGCCTCGCCCGTTAAGCTAGGCATACCCTGACAAAGGAATGGGAGTCACGTCATGTGGTATCTTGGCTACGAGGTCTTTGTGTGGCACAATGCAGAGAAGGGAGAGACAACAGGTGAGACTCCAGGCCTGGATAAAGAATCTTCAGCTTAATTTTGCCCCATTTTCCATCCAGAACGCCAAACAGCACAGAGCATCAATTGCTGTCTGTCTGTAATTGGGGAACCAGACAAGAATCCCAAAAGATCTGACAGGTACAATTTACATCAGTGGCAGTGAAAACTGAAGTGAAATTCCCCTAACCTTTTCCTTATCCATCTCCAACAATCTAAACCATAGGAAGCTGTAGCAGAGATCTCCATCAGGACCTTTGTCAGCCCTTTCAAACTTTATCATAGTTTCATGCACAGCTCACCATTTGAAATGTCTAATTCTTATGAAACCAGGAGGGTATAATTGTTTGGCTAATTGGGATAACATATCAAAGCATTCTGCTAATTCAATCTCATTTGCTTATGCCAATTAAGTTAATTAGAAAATAGACTTTGCTCCATAATAGAAGTCCATAAGAACAATCTTTATAAAACTTGAGAGTATAATTGTTACGCCATTATGGGTAACTTATGAAAAAATTATACTAATTATATCTAATTTACATATGAAACTGAACCAATTAGAACATAATTTTCCCTTACACGCAACTACAGAGAGCAGGTATGGCCAAAGTGCTCCTAACTTTCATGATGCTTCATGAAGTAGTGCTTAAATTAACCCTAGCCTTTACTTTTTAATTACTTACTAAGAGTCTGGCTGGGCTATTTGCGAAGCAGCACGTTTGGCCTGACAGTTTACTGAACAAAATGTCAGAGGTACAACCTGATAAATCATTAGGTATATGGCCCTTAAGTCAAATAGATTGGAGCTCTGGTTTTGATGGTCAGAGTTTAAAGGTCATGGTTTGAAGTGAGCATAATGGTGGCTTAATGATTAGCACTGCTGCCTCACAATGCCTAGGGCCTGGGTTCAATTCCTGCCTCCGGCAAATGTCTGTGTGCAGTTTTGGGTGGCATTGTGGCTCAGTGGTTAGCACTGCTGCCTCACAGCGCCAGGGACCCAGGTTCGATTCCACCCTTGGGCAAATGTCTGTGAGGAGTTTGCACATTCTCCCCATGTCTGTGTGGGTTTCCTCCGGGTGCTCCGGTTTCCTTCCACAGTCCAAAGATGTGCAGGTTAGGGTGGATTGGCCATGCTAAATTGCCCATAGTGTCAAGGGATATGTAGGCTCGGGGGATTAGCTGTGGGAAATGCAGGGTTGCAGGGATAGGGTGGGGGGGTGAATCTGGGTGGGATGCTCTTCGGAGGGTGGGTGCAGACTTGTTGGGTCGAATGGCCTGTTTCCACACTATAAGGAGTCTATGAGGTCCAATCTAGGAATTTGGGCACATTATTTAATCTAGCAGTCCTGAGAGTGCTATACTGTAGAAGGTGCCGTCTTTGTACGAGACATGAAACCAAGACCTGGTCTTACCTGCGAACACATGAATTTGAAGCAGGAGAAGGCCACTCAGCCCTTCAAGCCTGCTCCATCATTTAATACGATTGTAGCAGATCTGATTGTAACTGCAAATTCGCATTGCTGCCTACTCCCCATTAACTAACAAGAATCTATTCACTCCTACCTTGAAACTATCTAAAAATTCTGTTTCCACTGTCTTTTTAGGATGAGAGTTCCAAAGATTTACAACGCCTTGACAGAAAAAAAATCACATCATCTCTTGTTTCGAATGGGCAACCGCTTTAGTTTTTTAAACAGTAACGCATAATTCTAGATTCTACCATGAGAGGGAACACCCTCTTCAAATCTCCCCTGTCAGTATCCCTCAGGATCTTATATGTCTCAATCAACTTATCTCCTCCTATTCTAAACTCCATGCCAGCCTATTCAAACTTTCCTCATCAGACAATGATAGAGACAGATGTAATCACTGCTTTCACAAGAGAAACGAGTTGTTATCTGAAGAGGAAACATTTGCCAGTGAACGGGAGAAAAACCTGGGGAGTGGCATGAGATGAACTGCTCTTGCAGAGAGCTAGCAGATTCTCAATGGGCCTAATGGCCTCCCTCTGTGCTGTAAACATTCTATGATAAACTGTCATTATTGCCTCCAAAGCTGCTTATGGGACCTCACTGTATAAACTAGGTAACAAACTTTTTCACATGATGAAAGTCGCTAAATGGTTCTAAGCTACTTAGGAGCACCTGGAGGTCTGAAAAGGCAATACATAAATGGAACTGAGATAGTAGGAACTGCCGATGCTGGAGAATCTGAGATAACAAGGTGTAGAGCTTGATGAACACAGCAGGCCAAGCTACATTAGAGGATTTTTTTCTGAAGAAGGGTCTCGACCCGAAACGTCAGCTTTCCTGCTCCTCTGATGCTGCTTGGCCTGCAGTGTTCATCCAGCTCTACACCTTGTTATCACATAACTGGAACTTGTTTCTTTCTGTAATATTTTGGATGCTTAGTTCTACATTAAATTATTGGATCTGCATTCTTTTGGATGGCTGGGTCAACAGTAGATTGGACAGTACACTCTATCGAATATGAAGGTGACTAATCATCACATGTTGTGTTGCAAGCTGAGGTGGTAGTGGCAGTGTGTAATGTAAAGAAGCTAATGGATTCAGCTCCTGGTCTGTGTTATCTCAGTGTAGGAGTTAAGCTATTATAGTTAGCCTTGGGGGTAGTAGGCTGGAGTGAGGGAAAGGCCTCAGTGCTGAACTTGCTTGAAAATTAAATTTCAGTGCAGAATCAATAGCAATTCCAGGATAAGAAGACATTGAGAATGTAGATGAAAGGGTTGTGCACAATACAACATCGAATTTGTTAAAAAAAAAAATCAATCAGGAAGTAAAGACTAAATGAGGTGGGGGGGGTGCGCAGGGAGACTGTTTCGAGACTGTGGAAATGAACGATATCAACAGGAAGACGATTTTACACTGTTATTTTAATGTAGAGTGTGAAACTGTTCCACTCGTAAGAGGGAAACAAAAAGAACAAGAGGGCATGGATTTAGAAATGGAGTGCAAATGAAGGAAGGGTGATGTGAGAAAAAAATTTTCACTCAATGAGTCGCTAGGATATGAAATGTATTGAAATGTGGTAGAGGCAAATTCAAATGAGGTATTCAAGAGGGCATTTAGGCTGAAATGGTGTTCAGGCTTATGGGGAAAAGGCAGGAGATTGGCACGAGGTAACAGGAGCACAAGGGGCAGAATGGCCTTCTTCTGTACTGAAACAATTCTGTGATTCTGAGTACACCTCAGTGTGTGGGGGGAAATATCAATTAATTTTCAGTCCAGGTTCAAAAACCAGTCAGGAATCTTACTGATGATGGCAAGTGACTTGGACTGCAGCAAAATCCTTCAAGAAGTCCTACAGTTTTCCAATTAGTTCTTACAATAAGGCGAGCAACGTAACTCACAATAAATTTGCAAAATTAGGATAGGAGGAGACACTCCCAACTTCTAAACAGATCTGAGCAACAGCAAATCACAATAGCCAAAAGTGAAGTCATTTCAAACGATCAATCCTTGATTTGTTGTACACTTGTCATCAGTTGGAATTTACTCCTAGTAAGGATCATGCTAGACTTGAAAGGATCACCTATCGGGAAAAATTGAACATGATGGCAGTCTTTTCTTTGCCTTAAGAGTTGACCTGACTGAGGTGCTGAAGATTATGAAAGGGTCTGATGGGGTAGGTATAGAGTGAATGTTTCCACCAGTGGGGGCTTCCCAATTGAAGGCTTTCAAAGTAAGAGAGTCACCAATAAATTTGAGCGGGTCTCCAGGACAAACTCTTTACCCAGGGAATGGTAAGAACGTTGATATCAATACCATGAGGAACAGTTGAAGCAACCAGATGCATTTGAGGAGGCATGCAGGTAAGATTAATACCAACAGCACAGGGTTCAATGCCATGTTCGGGCTGAGGGGATCACCTCCACTTTGGAGTTGCAGTGATAAAATCCTGGCACTTTGCACAGTTTAGTGAATAATCAGTCTTTGGGCAGGGAAATCAAGAAGAAATTTAATCTGCAAAGGAAGAAGGAATACAGGGTTCGATGAAGGAAGTTGGGAAGATGCATGTGTCAACCATAAAGAACCTGCTTTAGACCACTTGAGTCATCAGGCCGCTTCTCCACTCCCATAGTCTGTGTCATTCTGGATAACTGCTATCTAAGTGTTGTCACCTTGACAAAATACTCAAGGTCACAAATAGTTGTGGAGATGCAGCAACTGGAACTCTGATACAAACATCGATAAACTAGGTGTTCGGAGGGGTGGGGAGAGATAAGCTTTAACCAATTAAAATGATATGCCTACCATGTTCCAGATAAGAGGGCGTACCTTCAGAGGGATCGAGCCTTCGAGCCCTCCGACCGTGTTTGGAGTTGTTGTGGACGAACATATTGTCGGAAATGGCCAGCACATGGCCATCCACGTTCACCGTTGTGGAGACGACCACCTGGGGCAGGAGAGATTAAAAGAGCCGTTAGAGAGTCACTTCACAATGCGAGGGATAAAGGGCATTTCAGAACGAATCCTACCTGCTCGCTCATATTGTTCTGGAGAAGGAGAAAAACAAAATAAGCAAGTTCAGAGCTAAAATTCAATTGGAAAACAGCACCAGAATCCTGGGTGAGGGAGAAGAAAACGGAAATAAAATATTCATCGATACAGTGAAAGCAAACCTGTAGCATCACTTCCAGAGACAACAGGGCAAAAGGACATAGATTCATAACAGGGAGTTTACGGCAGTTCTGGGGACTGGAAGAAATTTCTATAAAGGGTAGTTGAAGCCTGTACACTCCAGCTTGTGAAGAAACAGCTCAAAGCCGAAATGGATTGGTATTCAGGAAAAGGTAGTGTCAAAAAGGAGGTTTCTCATCTAAGCCTATTTTGAGAGTATCTGTCCCAAGATGCAATCAACCAGTTTCAAGTGCCGCTGAAGTGCTGTTATATATCACTAAGCTGGTACACACGGATCAGGTTCACTGCTCAGCCAGCACTGAGGTCGATCAGCAATCCTGGAACTTGCCTGCAGCATTCCTGAGTCAGGAGTTGGAAGCTTGAATCCTGATCAAAGTGCGGAACTCTCCTTGCTGCACGTGTACAGATGTCCCGTTTGGGCAAGAATAGCATCCCACAACTGCACAGCTTCCCCATGGCAAACATTCGGACTCAAAGCAAAGAGAAAGCTGGAGGAACTCAACAGGTCTGGCAGCAACTGTGGAGAGAGAGAGAGAAACACAGTTAATGTTTCCAGTCTGGTATGACTTCTACAGAACTGTTCAGAACTCTTCAGTTCTGAGGAAGTCATACCGGACATGAAGCATTAACTCTGTTCCTCCCTCTTTCTACAGATACTGCCAGACCTGGTGAGTTTCTCCACCTTTCCCTGTGCTTGTTTCGGATTTCCTGTGTCCACGGTACTTTGCTTCTGCTAGCCATTCTGACTCTTTGTGAATGGGTTCATGCAAGTTCATAGAGGTTGCAGGCAGATGGGAACATTAATGCAAACAAATCAAAGAGTACTCGAGAGAAATGAGGGAAAAGGGAAACTTGGCGGAATTTTCTCACCTACTCTAAATGTCAGCTCATCCAACTCTCGGCAGCTAATACCCCTGTGCCTGCTGAGCTGCACTGGTTCCTAGATTGACAACATCCCGATTTTAAAATCTTCTTGTGCTTTTCAGATCCTTCACTGCACCCCTACATGCCCCTGCACCTGCCCACCCAACCCCTGTCTTAATATCTCTAAATTCACCTTTAACCTCACAAACCTCAAAGACATTTGCGCTCCTCTAATTCTGGCCTCCTGAGCATTTCAATCACTGGCAGTCATACCTGAAGCTGCCCAAATCCTACATTTTGTAACTCCTTCCTTAAGTGTTTCTGCTTCTCTGATACTTTGACACTTGTAGGTGCTCTTTCAAAGCAACCACTGTGAGAAAGTTTTCGCATCATGTATCCTCAGACAGCTGTTAAACTGTCCTATAACATTCACATGGATGCCTTGCAATGTTTTAGTGCACTGAAGGCGTTGTACAAATACAACTTGTTTTTGAAGGCAGCACTCCACAGGCACTGGAAATTTTCTGTTCTCTTAAATCAAATGGCCTTTCACATTTCACAGGTCTAGACAGTCAGTGTGTGCTGGCTGATAGGTAAGGGAGACCCATCTAGCTGCCTCCTCGAATCTCATACTGCTCACTCACACAAGCCTCCTGGCTGGGATTGGTAAGCTGTTGACTTTTCTTTGATTGCTTTCCTGCCATTAAGTGCCACTTAGGCCAGTTGTAAAAAGAAATAACTTGCATTTCCACGGCAGCTTCCTCAACTTCCAGGACAACCCGAAAGCCCTTCACAGCCAGTAAAGAAGCACTTTTTTTCTTGAAAGTGTAATCACTGTTGCATTGTGGGAAGTGTGGCTGTCAATTTACACACAGCCAGCTCCTACAGTCAACAATGTCCTCCTTCTATTCCTGTGTGCAAGTCGTTTTTCATGCCACATTGTGAGTGAGCCAAATCAGACAGGTAGTTTCACATGTAAGTGTTGCATATTTTAAAACCAGCCAATTTCAAGTGGGACGAATGGGGTGCAAGGCCATTAGGGATGTTCAAGGACAGTTAGAAATCCTGGTGTAGCACATGGCCCAATTAAATCGGTGTGAACTTCAATGAGGCAGAACACGATATAACGATACAGGTCTTGCTCTGCATTTAATGCTGCACTCGCTAACGTGTTTATTTCAAAAGACTTACCAATTTAGCTACAAACACATATGTATTTTGTGCATGACTTGGTCGATGAAACCTTGTGTTCTGGATCAATGCAGCAGAGGTCAAGTACAGAGGCACACAGTTAAGGAAACTGATTGAGGATGGTCTGCGTGTTGAAAGGGACAGTCCTCACACATAAACCCCACTGTGATCCTCAATCAGCGATGCATCTATTAATCCCACCATAAAGTAGGGCTTCCCTCTGTTCAACCAGAACAAAGACGATCCATCAACCTATCAGCAGAACACAATTACGATTTAATAAATGAAATATTTTAAAGGTACACTCAGTTCTTCCTCTCCTGCCCAAGAAGCAGCACTGTCATCATTTTTCGAATAAGATGAAACTGCTTGTTTTTATCCAGAGTGCCAGGTCTCTGCTGGTAACATGCTACCTCAGTCAATGAGGTATGAAAGTAAATTGAGATCATTTTAGATTTCAATTAAAATTCCAAGTTTAACAAATGTCCACAAGACATTTACAATATCTTAAAGTAAATCCTAAGAGTGAACATTTACCTTTTAAAGTAAACTGCTGGTGACTCACTCTCACATCAAATTATAGCCCTGCTGGTGGCACACTGTCTCTCTAAAAAACTACTGTCTGCTGGTGACTCTCTGTCTCTCTCTATAAACTACTGTCTGCTGGTGACTCTCTCTCTCTCTCTCTCTCTCTCTCTCTATAAACTACTGTCTGCTGGTGGCTCTCTCTATAAAATGCAGTCTGGTGGTGACTGTATTTTATAGAGAGAGAGAGACAGTCACCAGCAGACTGTATTTTTTAAAGAGACAGACCAACTGCTGGTGACGGTTTCTCTCTATAAAACACAGTCTGCTCATGACAGTCTCTCCCTCTCTCTCTATAAAACACAGTCTGCTTGTGACTGTCTCTTTCTCTATAAAATAGTCTGCTGGTGGCTCTGTCTCTATAAAATACAGTCTGCTGGTGACTGGCTCTCTCTCTATAAAAAACAGTCTGCTGGTGACTGGCTCTCTCCCTATGAAATACAGTCTGCTGGTGAATCTGACTCACTAAAACACAGCTTGCTCTTGATTAACTGAGGGCAAGTGGTTTTCATGAAGCTTCTGTTTCAGAGCTGGGTTTTGCCCAGGATGGATTTGGCTTCTGGATAGTTAAAGAATCCATAAGTGAAGGGAAGGGGTGAAACTGATATTTGCACAGACCTACAGTTTAACAATAAAACTGGAGTAACTCCCGGGAAGTAACCAGCTGCCTTATCCAATAAAAGCATATCGGATGCCAAATATGGTAGTAGATGATTAACCTTAATCCCCTCAGGTGGGGAGATAAAGCAAGCAGAAAGTAATCTCTGCTTCCGACAAAAGCAACGCTCCTGATGGCTTTTTTAAAAATACAATGTCTGAGTCGCTATGGATGATCATAAGTGTTTGACGATCCACCAGTGTTTCCTGACTCACGCATTGGGAAAATAATGTGGAGATGTGGAGCTCGGTCACTTCTGTAACCAAGAAGAAGCAAGGTATGTCTCTGGAACTGTCTTTACCAGGAAGCAGTAAAATTAGAAATCAAATATTTTTGGCACCTAACTTAGATACTGAAGAGACATTGACAGCTCCACTACAATTTATGGACAAAAATTACAGAAAAGATAATTTCTTGGAAGCTTATGGTCAATATTTGATACATTTAAAAGATGGACAGTCATAGATTTTGAGAGTTACATGAAAGAATAAAGAAATTCAATCCAGGAATTAGAGCCTGTGCTTGCAATCAAACAGTTAGACCGCATACGTCATGCAAATGGATAGTGTTCAATTTTGTGGTAATGACTCTCTTTTTGAACAAATGATGTCGTTGTAGAAAGATTTTCAGTGATACAGTCATTTCCAGCTACCTCCATAAAACATGGTGGGAGTTCTGCGGCGGTATATGAAATAGAGGAATCCGTGATTCCTGACCCTCAAATTTGAAGAGAATCGAGACGTAGGCGGCTGTACAGAGAAGGAACTTTTCAGAAAGAGGTTTTAAAGTAGATCACACCTTGAACAGATTTCTAAATCAAAGGAAAATGCAAGAATTTGGTGATAGCTGGCAAAGAACGAATTCCAGAAATCCACTGGGAATAATTAATAGTTGTTCCCGGTTTGATTTTAAATATCACTATGTCATGAATTGTCCAAGAATCAAGTGTCAAGTATTTCAGAAAACTCATGGCAGAGGTAATTCAGATGACGAATATGATAAAGATGAACCACAAGAAAATATTATGTAAGAAACTGAAGACTTCTCTCAGTCCACTGGGTGTCCTAGCTGCCAATTGTGTCAATTGTGCTGTATCAGGTAAAGTCTGTACCTCAACAGTGTTGGGAACAATTAACTAAACTGTCGTTGAGGAAAGCCTGGACAAAGCAGATTAAGAATAGAGGCAAAGGATATTGAAGTATGCCCTCCTTTTGATCTATGGTTGATAATATGTTGCTGTCTTTAAGGAGAGCGGTCCTCCCATCTGAAATTGGAGGCCTCCCTCACCCTATCAACACTGTTGTGGTTCAAAGTGACGTATTTAGTAGGCCCTTGATTGAAAAAGATACATTAAATTAATGCATTCAAGAGGGGCATTGGATATTTAAATAGAAACAATGTACAAGAGTTATGGGGTAAAGGCAGGTGAATGTTTGTTGGAGTCACAGTATTTATTT